TGGGCATGTCTGGGGTGACACACTGAAGGCAGTGGGCATTTCTACCTACAGATTCAGGAAAAGTAGGTCATACTTGAGATGAGACTTAAAAACGTATAGGTATTCACCAGGTGGAACATAACTCCCTAGGGGAGGAACCGCAAGAAGCCGCGCATCTAGGGAGTTCAGAGAGGGTGCAGCCAGGAAAGACTGCAACCTCACAGAGAGGGCAGGGTCTTTCATGTTATGCCAAGGAGTTAAATTCTTTTCTTTTAGGCAAAGGGGTCTCCAAAATATCTTTTATGCCTAGTTAGGAAATTCTGAGTAATCTGCCCTATTTTCATGCATGTGGCCTATGAAAGCCAGAGTTAAAAATGACGAGATCCAATAAGAGAAGTGACTGATCATCATCTTTCTCCTGAAATACTTCTAAGCAGTGCTTTTGCCTGTAACCTACTCATTGGTGAACAGTGGACAGTGTGACTGCAGGTTCACCTGGCTCTTAGGAACTTAGTCCTTTTCATCTGTCAGTAAGTCACTGGGCAACCCGAATGCATTTGACCATTCGGTAAATATCTCTGAGCCTTGGTTTCTGTGCTGTGAAATGTGGATAATTATACTTATATTCACTGGTCTCTTGAGACTTCTCCTTAATATTTATAGCTGCAAAATACTTTGCAGTCATTTTTATTAATAGTTACCAGATGTGTCATAAGGATTAATGAGCTTATGATCTGAAATGTTTTGAGCTCCTGAAACAGGAGGCAGCTGCCTGCACAGGGATATGCAAAGAGCATTAAAATGCAAACAATACACATTTGGAAACTTGAGCTGTTATGTGTGAAGGACAAATGGCACACTTAAGATTTCTGTATACTTTGTAGGTATTTTTGGTATCCGTAATAAGGTTGCTGAATTCATCACAGGCCATTGCCAAAATTAGAAAGCTAGGTACCGCCCACCCCTGTGTGTGCTTGCACACACGCACACCGATGCTGTTCTGCTCATTTCACTCACCCACTTCTGTGCATCCTCTTGACTCTGTTTCCCCAACCTACAGACACTTGTTTCCAAGTATTCAACAATCTCCTTTATATATCTAAGTTTTTATTTCCATTTTCTTTTCCTCTTACTATCCAAATTCAGGCTCTTATTAGTTCTCCACCAAACCATTAAAGCAGCTCTTAGCCGACTCCGCATCTCCCGTATATAAGGGTTAACTTTCCGCGGGCGGAGCTGTCACTGCGCTGCCTTCAGGATCCTTTGGCAGCTCGCTTTGCCTGTGAAGTCAGCCATGTGCTCAGGGCCTCTTCCACGTGACCCTAACCCCCTTCCCTCGGCCCTGTGCTTGGGGTCTGGACCCTTCTCTTCCCCAAGACCTCCCGATGACTGCGTAGCTTTTCCTAGGGCAGAGATGTGAGTAGAGGGAACACACCAGGCACTGGTGGCTCTTTTCCATCCTGACTTTGTCACTCCATCTTCATGTACGAGGTGTCCCTATCCTGGGTAATTCCACCCTGTTCAAGGCCTGTCTGAGTAAAATGACCCCCGCGAAGGTATTCCAGGCCTGTTCCATTTAGGACCCCTTGCTTCTGAAACGCCCATTCTAATGTCTATCCTTCTTGACATTTTAGTATTTTACACACATGTCCTTCCCACAAACTAGCTTGCCAGTCTGTTGAGAGCAAAGCCTGTGTCTGTCTGATCTTTGTGTTCTCCATGGTGCTTATTTTAACGCCTTGTCACTGCGGGACCTGGGAAGTCTCCGTTGAACTGAATTTTACATGGACTCACAGCCCTAGTTACCTTTGTCATGTAGGCCAGTGTTCTGGGAAAATTTGAAATATACAAAGTAGAGAGGATCCTAAGGTGAATCTCTATGTAGTTGTCACCTAGCTTCAGTAAAAATGAACACATGGCCCATCTTGTGTGACTGTACCCTGGCTCAAACATCCTCTGTTGCAGTATCTTCCTGTGAGCCTTGCTTGTCCAGAGTTGGTATCTGGCAGCCACCGTTGCCCAGCACCGATGGAAGGCGGCACCACGAACTTCCTAGCGCATGGGCAGGGGTGGTGTGGTCAGGTATTGTCATTACGCCACGACCCACTCAGACCTGATCTAATCTTACTTTTTTGGGGGGGGAGGTACATGCCCCAGCAGGAACCGAACCCGGGACTCTCTGGTCCATAGGCCGATGCACCAATCGCTGAGCCAAACTGGCCAGGGCTAATCTTACTTTTTCACATGATTTTTAGCCATTTCAGATGTGTCTAATCATTTTCTTTTCTGATTCACATTTTATCTGAATGGGGGCCGGTGGCATGTTTATGAAACATGTTGCCCGATAAGAAGTGGCCATGCAGAGTGGACGTGGTGACGGGAAAGCTGTGAGGAGTGGCAGGAGGTCCCCCGCGTGCAGCCCCGAGCCAGGAGGTCAGGGCACCAGGAGTCCTGGGGCCCAGGGTCTCTGCAGAGTGTCCCAGCCACTCTGCTCCTGGAATTCATTTCAGCTAATACTTTTTAAGTGTTTACTGGAATTTTCTAATTACTCTGAGTCATAAAGAAAAGTGTAAATTATGTTTCTACGCTTTACTTAGGAAAGCAAGAGATATGTCCTCTTAGAAGCGGTTTCATGCTCGGAGGTTGTAGTTCCATCATTGGTAGAATTTTTGTGTTTGTAAACTTTAAGGGGGAATGTTTCATTCCAATCTTGACTATTTTATTTTTGTTAATTCTCACCTGAGGATATTTTTCCATTGATTTTTAGAGGGAGGGAGGGAGGAAGGGAAGGAGGGAAGGAAGAGAGAGACATCAGTTGGTTGCCTCCTGCACGACCTGGACCAGGGCTGGGGATTGAACCTGCAACCCAGGTATGTGCCCTTGACCAGGAATCGAACCTGTGATTCGTCAGTTCATAGGCAGAGCTCTGACCACTGCCACTGGTCTGGGCCCAATCTTGTCTGTTTTAAGTAGGCTCTGACTAAAGAATGTAAGGGTTTTGGAGTTCAAACTTAAACTTTTTTTATACCTTTGCTAAGAAATATGTTCTGAGTACCGTTCCATTTGTGGGAGACTTAAGATAATATGTGAAAAATAAGCATAAAGCTGGTGGCCCCTGCATTCAGGGACTGTCTGGTAGAGTGGAGGATACTTGCTTGAAAAGAACTCCGTTGCCGAGTTGCTGAGATCAGAGTAGGGAAAGGGAGAACTCCTGTAAGGAAGAACCAGGAGGTGCTTGGTGCCCTGGGAGCAGAGGGAGACCCCTCCCAGTCAAGGAGTTGAGGGAGAGGCTGGAGCCCCTTGTCCTGTGCTGATGCTGCCACCAGGGCGTCCTCCTGTCTCGTCCGTTGCACTCACATTGCTTCTTAAACTCAGCTCTGACTCCAGCTCTTCCTGGCCTAACCCCCAGGATCTCCCCGTGTTTGCAGGGCAGAGTGTTTATTCCTTCAGCTTGTCCCCCGGTCCTCCCATTTGTTCAGCCGAATCTCCTCCTATTTCCTAGCTGTCGCCTCTCCCCTGTGCCTCCTCTCAAGCCTGATCGCTGCTGCCTTAGAGTCCGCACAAGGAATCCCTCTAGCACGCTTCTCCCCAAAGCAGCCCCAGGGCAGGCCTGAGTGCTTGCCCTTTGCAGGGAGCGGTGACTTGGTGCTGCGAACTCAGGTCACCGCCACCCTCACGGAGCCATTCGTCCCAAAGGGCTCTCCTCCCTTCAGTTAAGAGCTTGGCCGTCCAGCCTTCGTGTTTTCAGACTCTGTCCAGGGAGTCTCAGCACCGCAGGGGCCTCAGCACCAGAGACACCACGGGGAGGACCTGGAGTGCTCGGGACCAGAGAGGGGGATGGAAAGAGATGGAATCCCTGCCTCCGAGCAGTGACCAGCTGCTCTTCTCCTGGACCCACAACAGCGCAGACTCATCGTGAGCAGGAACAGACTTCAGCTCCCAGCGTTCACTTCTCTCATGAGAGAGGATGGGAGTATGTGTTTGTTCAGCCAGGATGGGCCCTCCCAGGACCGAGCCTTCTGAGGCCGGAGACCTGGGGAGGGGAGACAGCTTTGCTGAGGGAATAAAGGCAGACATGGAGGGCGCCTGGGTTCTTTGAGGTGATCGCATCTGCTTCCCTGTCCTGCTGCCATTGTACACTCAGGCGCCAGATGATTTCTGAGTTCAGCTCCTTCCTCTGATGCCCCCTTCCTTGTCCTAAGGCTAATTATTTTCTTTGTTTTTTTCTTTAATGTTACTTGAATAGTGTGTCCACAAGTACCGAAGTCCCTTCTGGTGATGCTTCTTGCACCCACGACTTGGGCTCTGATCATTCATACCTGCTTGGTTGCTGGAGTCTCATTAGTGATTTGCCAACATTAGTCCTCACATATTTCTGCAGCCAGTTTGCCTTCCAGCACCAGGTCCTTCTCCTCAACCTCCTGCTTCCCCTGCTTAGGCACCCGAGGCACCCCCGACCAAGCTATCTGACTAGGTGGTTTCGGATAGCAGGCCTCTCTCCCTGGGCCTGTCCTGCTCTTGTGCCCGGAAGTAGTGTGCTGCAGCCAGCCTGGTTCCTTACGCCTCACTTCCTGTGCCTGTCTCAGTCGCCCTCCTTCCACACCGTGTTTCCCTGGCCAGCAAGGCTTGGTTTGGGTTCCACCTGCTGCCTGAAGCCTCTCCTGATCTTTCCTGTCCCGGTGACCTCTCTGCAGGCAGCCTGCAACCGTGTAGGTGCGGACACAGCCCAGGGCCGGGATGAGGGAGGGAGAGCCTGAGGTGCGGGCGCCCAGCACACAGGCCTGTGTTCAGCCTTGCCTTGTGTTGCCAGACTGGGGGGAGGGGCAAGCGCTAGCTGTGCTTCCTATTTCTTCCGTTTCCCTTCATGGTGTGATGCCCCGAGCACTTGGCATGCCAGGTTGGCCATGACATTAAAATCCTGAAAGCTGACGGGTCTTCAGTCTGTTCAGTTCAAACCTCCTGGGGTTCTCTGTCCTGCTCCTCTTGACCCCTCACACTCACCTGTTCACTTGTTTTCTCAGCCGGTGCCCCGCATCATGGTGCAGCCTGCCCTCCTGGACCCCAGGATGGACCCCAGGACGGACCCCAGGATGACCAGGGTGGCGATGGTGAGTTCGCAGGGTTGGGGGTGACGCCTTGGCTGGCGGCTGCCCCACATACTGTGGGTGGCCCCGATGCTATAATCATTGAGTCCACACCCGTGGTTGTTTTATTTTAGCATTCCTGTTTTGATAATTAATCGTAATATAGGCCACTGTCTTCTTCCTATTTTCCTTGTTCCATTTTGCTATTTTCAACTTGTTAATCATATGATTGCTAAACTTTGAGGTGCTTGACTGCTAACATAGCCCGCTGCTTTAATAGCCCACTGCCAGGCACAGGCGGTTTCTATAAATGGACAGTCTCCAATTCTGCCTGTTTGCCTAATTCTCAGTTTTACATTTGATTCTGATTCATGGTATCAGCGTGAAAAGACTAATGCTAAGCCGGGGAGAAAAACAGGCTCTTATGATCTCCCGCAGATGAACAGCACTTCTCATCTCATGAATAGCAAGTCTATTTTCTCCCACTGTGTGTTCATTCTCTCAGGAAATGCGATATCTTCATAGGAAATTTTTATTTATTAAAACAATGGCAAAAGCCAAGTAATTTGGAATAAAATTCAGACCTCACTCCTTCCTAATAGTTCCTGCTCAGTCCAGCACACCCTGGGTGTTCAGGAGTTTAACTGAAGATGTAGCACGGCCCCTCTGCCTGGGTACAGTTTATTATTCTGCTGAGACAAGCGGCCCCCCCAGGCCAATGGGACCGAGTGGGAACAAGTCCCCTGCTGGTGAGGGCACCTGACCCGCCGCAGCCTCGGCAGCTTGGACAGCCTCGCCTCATCGCGCCGTTTTCTCAGGTCTAGACGTCAGTGGCACGCTCGAGAAGTCAGTGGTAAGGGTGCACCCAAAGACGGCAGACAGGTCCCCACTCCCAGGCCTCAGTCCCTGGGAGCAGCTGCCTGCGGTGTGCGCGGGAGTCGGCTGCTGGCTCCGCCCAGCGCGGGAGGGGAGCGCCAATCAGCGCTCCCAGGCCGCTTGGGGGTCGGGGGGCTGGGATCTGACCGCCCCCTCGGTCCCTCTGCGGGCTGAGGATCTGGCTGCTGAGCCCTGGTGTTTCCCTTTCTGGTGGCTGGGGGAACCCTTTAACCTCTCCGGGCCATGCGGTAACGTCGGTGTGACAATACTTTTTGGCTACATTGGACTCGTGTGGAAGCAAATGGGATAGTACCAGGGAAGCAGGCGGTGCTGTCACTAGACGGTCACTTCCTGGGGTCACACCTGCTGGCCCTTAGCAGTTAGGGGGTCTCCCGGGAGGGGACTAGGATCGCGTCCTGTTTCAGGATCACAGCCTTGCTCCTCCCTGCCTGGTCTGTGATATTAAAAATAAAATAGAAAGGAACAAATAAAACATGTATAAGTTGCAAAAGAAAAATGATTGAAGTATTGCCCAATCTTTTAGAGTATTTATGCTGGTGACAGTTATTGATCTATTGGATTTAGTCAATTTTGCAGCCTAGAGATCCATCACAGAAATGTGCTGTTAATCTCGGGAGGTGCCGTGAATTCCGTACCCTGAGAGTGTGCCTCGTGGGGAGAGGAGGGCCTCTGGAGACAGGAATACAAATGACAGTTCACGTGAAAACGCATGATTTATCAGACTGCCGAGTTAAGCCAAGTAACTGTAAGAGACTTATAGATCTCAGCTGTTTCCCTGTTCAAATAAATCCTGTATTTCAAATGGAAAGTGGCCATTCCTGTAATATAAATAATCTTTCTGTAAATATTGGAAAACATATTTCTTTCTCTGAACAGCACCCTCTCCACCACCCCGACCCCATCCCCATCCCAGCCGTCGCTTGTGCCCCTGTCATTGTGAACCGGGAATAGAAAGATATTGTCACCTTCAGGTGACTTGTTATCAACGAAAACACTATATGAGCACCTCAGAAACAGGAGAGGTTGGATGAGCAGTGGCTGTCCCCTTCCCCTGAAATGTGGCTTTCTGTGTGTCCCTGCCTGAGTGACGCAGACAGAGGACTGTGAGGGAGAGGCCACCTCTACGGTCCAGCTCTGTCCTCCCACCCCTCACCCGGCTGGCTGCTGCTTGGCCAGGTCCCCTGGGATCAGAGAGCCTCCTGACCCATGACAGGGGACCAGCCTCTCAGAGACAGGGCACAGCCTGTAGGCAGCTCTGTCTCCTCCTCGTTCACCACCTCGAAGCCAGCACCTGCCGGTCAGCATCAGGCTCTGGGGTCATTTCCTTGAGCCCAAGCCGGGGAAGCAGGGCTGAAGCATTTTCAGGTCCTTCGATGACATCGTAATTTCACTTTGGCAGGAGAGAGGGTTCTCTGGCCACTAGTGATTCTCTGTCTCCCTGGGAAGTCGGTGGGCAGGGGACCTGTTTCCACAGAAGCACAGTTCGTAGCCTGAGTTCAGGGAGGCAGGGGATACAGGGGGTGAGGGAGTGGAGATTTTGGTGGGCTCCACTCTGAGATGAGGCCGTGCCTGCCTTCTAGCTCGCCGACCCCAGGGTGGTCCCCTGTGTGTGGTTTCCCACACCAGCAGGGCCCGGGGTTCAACTCCATTCGGACACTGTCTGCCCAAAGAGTGTCCAGTCCCCAGGTGAGGGCTCAGTCCCACCAGACTGCCCTCCACTTCTGACACCAATCTCAGTCCAGGTTGTCACCTGACCTTCTGACTGTCTAGTTGTAAATTGAGGGTCCCATGACTCCTCCTTGGGTTTGATCAGTTTGTTAAAGAGTAGCCCACAAAACTCAGATAAACATTTTACTTACTAGGTTACCATTTGTGATGAAAGGATGTAACTTAGGAAGAGCCAGATGGAAGAGACGTGGAGGACGGGGCACAGGGAAGGGGGGTGCAAAGCCCCACACTCTCCTCACACCCCTGTGTGGTCAGCGCTCCCGGGAACTCTCCAAACCTGTCCTTTGGGGGTTTTAGTGGAGGTTTCGTTACATAGGGAGGGTCGATGAAATCCTTGGCCATTGGTGGCTGGTGACTGACTCAGCTTCTAGCCCCTTTCTGCTCCCGGTAATGAGGGTGGGGTGGAAGGGCCAGCCCTCTGAGCATGGTTGGTCTCCTGTCAACAGGCCCGTCCTTGGAGGTTTCTGAAGGTCCCTTTATAACGTACACTCAGGAGTTGTTGGAAGGGGCTTGTTCCGAACATCAAGATGACTTTATCGCTCTTATCTTAGAAAATTCCAAGGGTTTTAGAAAGAACTCTGTGCCAGAAATGGGGATGAAGACCAAATATGTGTTTCTGTGTAACCCCCAGGATCAGAGGATCTATTAGAATCTGTGTAGAAGGTGAGGGGTGGAAGGGGCAGGCCCCAGGGTGCGTGCTGAGCTCTCAGCTTGTGCAGGTGCAGCAGGGCCCTCGGGATCCAGTGCGGGAAGGCGGTCCCAGGGAGGCAGTGGTGGAGCCGATAGGCTCACCCCCCACCCCCACCCCGCCCCAGCACAGTGGTGCCTTTCACCCTCAGAGCTGTGAGGTTTCAGGACAGCACGGCCTCTGTCTCAGCCCTTTGGAAACACACTCCTAACCTTGAATCCTAACCAGTTCCACTTCCCTTCCCTGCTGCAGGCTCCCCGGGAGAGCACCGGGGTGAGCGTGGCCTCTGCCGTGACTGTGCAGACCGCCCCGGCCGTGAAGACGTATGACAAACCCACGCAAGTGCCTTCACCACAGTGCATGGCCGCCAACACCCAGGTCCCCGAAGTGCAGGACGGGCCGCCCAGCCCCCTGAGCGAGACCTCCAGCGGGTACTTCTCACACAGTGTCTCCACGGCCACGCTGTCTGATGCCTGCGCCCCGGGCCTGGATGCTGCAGCCCAGGGGGGTGGGCAGACGCCCGGCTCGCCCCCTCCCGCCCCCTGCCAGGCCGGCCCCGAGACGGAGCCCCTGTTTCCATCTGCTGCCCCTGGCGCAGACAGCGCTGTCCCTGCCTCGTTGGAGGGTCCGAGCAGCCCTCTGTCACTGCCTGTCCCAGCAAAGCAGACTTCGCCGAGTGATGGTGACAGTGTGGCCCAGGCCAAGGGAGCAGTTTTCTCAGAGCAGCAGGATGAAGAAACAGGCACTTCACCGACTGCTCTCCCGGCTTCTGCGCCCCAGGAGTCTCCCAGCCCGCAGAGCAGAAGCGACGGTTCCCCTGTCACCACGCCGCTGGGAAGACCCAAGGACCAGGCCCAGCCAGGCACCAGCTTAGAGCCGGATGTGGACAAACCCCAGCTGGCGCCTGACCTCCTGCCTCAGTGGCCTGCTCCTGCCTCCCCGTTCAGGATCCGGAAGGTGCGCACCTCTGAGCTGCAGTCCTTCACGCGCATGCTTGGCGGGGACCCCTCTGGTGCCCAGGAGGACCCGCCAGCCTCGGGAGGGCCCCTTGACAGCGGCGCTGGAGGACAGACCCCGGAGAAGCTGGACGTGCCCTCTGATTCCGAAGAAGCCAGTGAGGTCCCGGAGTGGCTCCGAGAGGGAGAGCATGTCACCCTGGGCGCCAACAAAGTGGGCGTCGTGAGGTACATCGGGCCCACCGACTTTCAGGAGGGGACGTGGGTCGGAGTGGAGTTGGACTTACCCTCAGGTGAGTGCTGCTTGGTCAGGAGGCAGCGGCCGGGGCGGAGGGGTCTGCCCTGCCCCTGCTGCCGAAATGTGTGTGCCCTTTGGCACCTCATTTAACCCGAGCCTCCAGTCACCACCTCTCAAAGTGAATTTCTTTCTAGACAAACTTTCCCAGAGCTTTTTAAGAGTCAGGTGTTCTCTCTCTCTCTTTTTAGAGTTTCTCAGAAACCTAAGACATTAATCGAGAGCAACTGTACATTTGGCAATGAATTTAAATGCCATCATTCCTTCTTTAGTCACAGGAGCATTTGCACCCGCCGGTCGGGGGAGCCCCGCAGACTGGGCTTGGGTGGCCTCTGTCGCTGTGCACGCTGTTCCCAGGGCTGCCCCCCGCAGTGTCACTCCTGTGGGCAGCAGCTCCCCACTGTGCGGGGGCTGCACTTCGTTCAGCCGCTGGTCAATTGATAGACCTTTGGGTTGTGTCCACTGTTTGGCTTCTGGGAAGAATGCTGCTGGGAGTGTGGTGTGTGAGTTTCTGGAGGACGTGCATCTTCGTCTGTCTTCAGGGGAGCCTGGGCCTTGCCCCTGAAGTTCCCACGTGGAGGAGGGCAGACTGGCTTCCAGTCTCCTCCGCCTCGCAGCGTGCTCGGCCGGGGGTCGGGCTGGCGGCCTCAGCGCTCGGTGAGGTGGGAGCTGGGGAGGTGGGTTTTTAGGGGGGCCGGTGTGGTGTAGCCTGGTGAGTGGGCTTTGAGTAGCAAGGAAGCAACTGTCCTGGGTGGGGACAGAGGGAGAGGTGGGTGGTTTGCTCTGTGACACCCAGACCTGCCCCACTCGGACTCAGACTCTGGGCCCTCAACTCGGCTCTGAAGTCACTCACTGTCTTTAAAATAATCTTGGTAAAGAATATCATCCATTGGGAGTGGTTCTGGAAGATCACTGTGGCACAGTCTGGAATATTTTTTAAACTCCATTTCTACTGAAATGCAAACAAGAATTGGGAAAGAAGTTTGAGTTTGCAATTAAATTAAGAATTAAGGGACTTTAGCAAATAGATGAGTTCATCCCACAGATAAAGATTATGTACCTACTAGGTTTCCGTCACAGTCCTGGATTTGAGGATACCCTTCTGAGTAGAACGAAGTCCCTGGTTCACGGGACTTTTCCTTTAGAGGGGAGGCAGTGATCAGATAAGCAAATGAATAACATTTGATCGCAATAGTGCTATGAAGAAGATGAGATGGGCCAAGCAGATCGGGGTGGTGGGCGGGGGGTCGTCAGTCATGCTGAGGGAGACGAAGGCGCGAGCGATGCCGAGGAGCTGGGGGGGCAGCTCGGGGTTTGAGGGCAGCCAGAGACTGGCCAAGGCGAGGTGTGGTGGCCGGTAACGGAGGGTGAAGAGTGCCGGGAAACCATGGAAGGTTTAAAACGAGCACAGACTAGGAGTGGAGCGTGGGAGCAGGAAGGCCTGCAGGAGGCTGCTGCAGACGTCCAGCCGGGGGTGTGGTGGCATATGGAGGCCTGAGAAGCGGAGTCAGGAGAAGCATGACGGAGAGCCCCGGGCTGAGGGGTGGTGGAATGTCAGGGGCAGACAGGAGTCAGGCTGACACCGGAGTGTGGCTGAGACCAGGGTCCTGACCCGTGGAAGAGCCCAAGGGCAGGTGCGGGTGCAGGGCAGGAGGGGTTGGAGGTGCAGGGCAGGTGGGGTTGGAGGTGCAGGTCGGACATTGCAGGGGCCACTCTGGGACTAGACACACAGCTCAGGGGCACCCCTGTTCACGGGCATGCAGACCTGGGGCGAGCCCCCAGCAGAGGGCACAGCCCCAGGCCAGAGAGGAGGACTGGGAGGAGCCAGAGAGGTGGGTGGCGGGGGTGTGGCCCAGGAGCCCAGCTGAGGCCAGAGGGTGGGCGGGGCTGCTGTGGGCCTGAGAGCTGGTGACAGTTCGGAGTGGGACAGAGAGAGGGCTGGCTGGGGTGTGCAGGCAGTGAGCTTAGAAAACCCACCGTGCGTTTGCTCCGAAGATCGTGTTCCCCACCAACCCCTCACCACGGGGGGTTGACATTGAGGGTCAGGCTGGTCCTTTTGTTCAGGTCTGTCCCCCCACACACACCTGGGTGCTGTGCTCTCTTCCTTCACCATAAAGCAGTTATACTCACTTTTACAATGGAAGCTTCACTGCATCTTGACACACCAAGCGTGACATCTGACAAGTCACAATTTGAAACTTGCTAGTTACCATCTAATAGGTTGAGGAAAAATTATTCTACCAAAAACACCTGTACTCGTTTGCATTTTGACCATCTAGACTGAAATCAGTCTGTGCCCCAGGTGGGGTGGGGTGTGTGCGAGCCCTGGACTAGCACATCAGCCTCCCCTAGGGCCTGGGGGGGTGTCCCCCAGCGACCACTGCGCCTGCCCGGAGAGGGGCCCACCCGCTTGTTAAATGCTGAGCGCCTGTGCGGGCCCTTTGCACACCGGGGCCTGCAGGGAGGGGCCGTGGGGCCTGGAGCGGCGGAGCCACCTATGTCTTTTCTTCCCTCAGGTAAGAATGACGGCTCCATCGGAGGGAAGCAGTACTTCAAGTGCAACCCCGGCTACGGGCTGCTGGTGAGGCCCGGCCGGGTGCGCAGGGCAGCGGGGGCAGGTCGGCGGCGCAGTGCGGGGCTCAGGCTGCAGGGCGCCCCGGAGCCTCGCAGGAGCAGCACCCTCTCCGGCTCTGCCACCAACCTGGCCTCCCTGACGGCAGCTCTGGCCAAGGCCGAGGGCACCGTGGCGCTGCGGGTGGACAGGAGCCATAAGAACCCCGACGACCGGAAGTCCTGGGCCAGCTGAGCGGCACTGTGGGCGGAAGCTGACAGCGCGGACAGCCTTGGGGTGGAGCTGAGCTGAATGGCCGGGTCACCTCAAACCCCCTTCCCTGGGACAGCAGGCAGTGAAGGCTTTTTGCACGATGCAGGGCTGGTGACCCCTGTTTTGCCCAGGACTCTGGAAGCTTCATTTCTTCCTCTACCCGGAGAATGACGCGAGGCCTGCCCTCAAGGTAGCCGGTTGAAGGTTCTAGGATCCCAGAAGGGTCCGGGCTTGTTGGGGGAGGCCCTGGGGCACACGGCCGGCCACCTTTCTCCCCTGGTCCCAGGGCTCTTCCCCCTGGGCTGTCGTTGCTCTTTCTCTGCCCTGGTGACGTCTTAATTTAAAGGGCGACCCTAACTAGTGCCTTTCCTTCTGCACAGGCAGGGCCTCCCCCCTGCCTGCAGGCCGGTGCCTGCCCAGCCCGGCTCTGCTTGTACCTCAGGCTCCTGCAGCCAGGTTGTCCCCACATCCTCCCGGGGTACTTAGCGGAAGTGCCTCCGGTGGCTCCTGGGCTTCTGACCCAAGGTCCCCAGTAACCCAGAGACCCGCTGGGCCTGCCCCGCCCGCTGTTCCCTCATCCTTTCTACGGGATTTCTTAGTTTTCTCTGTGGGTGTTTTAACATCTTTATACCTAGGAGGTTTTTCTTTTTGCCATTTATTCCCTTAACAGAGTATTTGGAATATATTTATTTCTATTTATTTTTCAAAATCTGAAATTATTCGCGACTCACAATCGTCCGCCCAGGTGCACGTGCCCAGGGCCTGCCTTGTACGGTGCCCACCTCTGTGGCCCTGGGGAGCTGGCAGCCTCCTGCCTCGGCCAGAGGATGACCCCTCCTCATGTTCCTTTAATAAAGACCACCCGTGGCCTTACTCTAAGATGACAGCGAAAACCTGGAGAGCCATGTGCTTCTGCATTCTGAGCACAGCCAGAGGCATCGCCACTTCAGTGATGCAATTCTGGTTTCTGGGCAGGTCCTTAGACCAGTGTAACATCTTGGCAATTCCTGCCTCCCTGACTACACCTGGGCCTTCCGAGGGCATGCTGCTCCACCACCCCGGTGGCTGGGCCCTTGCAGAACCACAGCCCAGGTCCCGCCGGAGCAGCCTGAGACGTCCCAGAGCCTCGCACGCCTCCTGCGCAGGCGCCTGGCCGGGGCCCTGCTGTGGGGCAGGAGGAGCCCGCACCTGGCAGCTGGGGAGGTGCGGCCCCGGGACAGCGGGCTCCTGGCCCTTCCCAGGGGGAGCCAGTGACTAGTGCCTTGGGTCAGGTTTACATACAGCACTCCTGGCCGCCTGTTTTTGGTTCTCATGTTTAGACTCTTTAAAAACAATACCCAGAAAGCTTAAAAAAAAAAAAAATCTCCCATTCTCTCAGGATTTGAAGCCCCTCCTGAGAAGCAGGGCAGGTCTTCTGGCCCTGGGTGGGCTGCTCGGAGCCCCACAGGGACACCCCTGGGCACCACTGCACACACTCAGCCCCACGGGGGCGGGGGCTGCAGATTGATGGGCTCCTGGAGCTGCACGTGGTGACGCCCAGGCCCCCCTGGAGCCATCAGCCAGCTGAGGCTGCTGCTCCTGCTCGCCCGGCTGGACAGACTGCAGGAGGGGCTGGAATGGCTCACAGCTGGGCAGTGCGGGGCCCGTCCCCTCCACCCCATCGCACCCCGGGGTCCCCGCGGCCCTCTGCGGCCCTCAGCCCCCAGAGCTGCCCTGCACGCGTCTCTCCTTCCCCACGGTAACAGCAGGGGACAGGGCCGGGAGGTCATGAGCACGACCCTCATTAGCTTTATCTCACCCACGTTCATGGTTCTAGAACTGGAAGGTTCATGGGGAGCAGGCGAACCCAGGGGAAGTTCGGTGACCTTTCCCGGTGGACAGAAGCTCCGGCTTTGGACTCCGGCCTGAGCTCTGCCATGGTCGCAGGGCGCAGACTGCCAGCCCTCAGCGCGCGGTGCCCGGGCCCTGCCCCAGCGCTCCCTGCCCGAGCCCAGGTTCAGTGATTTAACCCACTACCCTCTCAACGAGCTCTGCCCGGCCGGAGGTTGCTTGGCTCCTCTCCCTGGGGGGGCTCCGAGCAGCCTGCTCCCGGGACAGCTGCCTTCAGTGTCCTGTCCTTGTCCACGTGTCCCCCTGGCCGGGAGGTAGGCGTCTTTCTGATTCTCTAGTCACGGCAACCAGATACGAGGGCGCAGGGCTGTGGTTTGTCCTGCATGAGGTCGGCGTGGGCCTGCGGGCGCCCGGTCTGCGGCTCACGCTGCGAGGCCGGCTCCGCTGTGCCTCCCGCCTGCAGTGGGCCTGTGTCCCCAGCCAAGTGCTCTCAGTCCTGCACCCTCCTTCTCTCCCTAACTTCCAGCACAGTTCCCAGTGTTTCTATTGAGCGTTTCTCTGTCGCCACCCATGTGGTCCGCACCCCCTTCCGGCAGAGGGACCAGAAAGCCATGCCCCCAGCTCCTGGCAGGGAGACGCTAGACGTGGACGTGGTTGCTGTTTGTGAACCTACCTACCGGGGCAGTACTACTGGGCCCGTCTGCTTGGTGTGTGGTGGCACAACCTCCCGGAGCCGTCTTGGGAAGGCCAGTGGGGGTGAGGGTGTCTGCTCTCAGTTACTTACTTTCATTAAAATGGAGAGACTGTAATGGAAGTATGGACTCACATGGTGTTTACTAGCCGAAGCTCGGAACAAGGCAAAGGCTTGAGGGATTCAGCTCGGGTCAGCCGTTCCCCGGGGAGGTTCCAACGGGACCCTTCTTTCTCCCAAACCCGGTTTCCTGTGCCTGAGGTTCTCCCACCAGTCCTGCCCCAACTTGAACCCTCCCGGAAGCCGTGTATCCTTTGGGCTAGCGGGGTCCCCTTGGGGTCCCCTTGGGGTCCTGTGGGCCAGCGCTGAGTGAAGCCCCGGAGACAGCAGCTGGCCCGTTGCCGGGAGGCCTTGGTTCCAGCCTCCGCTGTTGGCGGGCGAGGCGGTGCCTCGGGTTGTCCGGGCCGGTTGTCCGGCGTGCGGGGCGCCCTGGTAGGTGGCGGGGCGTCCTGGTAGGTGGCGGGGCGCCCTGGTAGGTGGCGGGGCAGGTCTGTCCCACCGGTGCCCTCGGCGAGCGTCGCTGCGCAGGGAGCCTGGCCTCCCAGCGCTGTCAGAGCCCCGGGGCGCCCGCCGGGCGTGGGGGCCGCGCTGAGTCCTCGCGGGCGGGCAGCTTTGGTTCCCATGACCCCTGACCACACCCGACAGCCCGGGTCCCCGCCACCCGCAGGTGTCGGGCAGGTGCGCCCCCAGAGCCCGCGGGGGCCGGCCCGAGGGGGGCCCCACCCGCCGTCCTCCCTCGCCCACTGACAAGCGCCTCATTCTACGTGAATGTCAGCGCCGGCTTCCCGGCGGTCCCAGCAGGCGGGAGGCGTCAGCGCAGCCCTGCCAGCCCTCAGCCCAGGCCGGGGCGTCCCGCTGCCCAGCCCGGAGGGGCAGGAGGGCAGGAAACAGCAGCGGCTGCCTGGGCAGGGGCCGCGGGTGCAGGAGAGACCGCGCCGCGGGGCAGAGCGAGAGGCCCCGGGTTTCTCCTCCAGGGGTTTCTCTTCCCGCCTGTGGCCCGCACCGCTCGCCGCCCTCCGCTCAGGCAGGCTGAGCCGGGTCTCCTGCCTCCTTTGGGGACCAGGGGTGCAGCCTCCATTTCATGGCCAAGACGCTGACTCGGTTGCCCCCACGTGTGTCTTTCTCGGTGAAGTCCATCGGCCTCGGCTGGGGCTGTGTGCGGGGCAGGGTGGGGACTCTCTCCGTGCGGAGGTCTGTAAATAGGATGGGTTCGCAGACAAGTGATTTCGGAGGAGTACACTGATGTGCTTACACAGGAAATGGGAGTGTAAAAATATTCAAAAACTAATGAATTGTAAAGACTTGATTTGTATTGTACAATGAACTACATAAACATCTGTAATTTTGTACCGCAGATGCCTTTCCACCCTATGACCAGCAGCTTCTAAATAAAATCGGATGATTTCTTGCCTAAGTCTGAGGTCAGTCTTGTTGCTTTTCCCTCCCCCACCCAGATGTAGGGGTGTTTGGGGCTCCTTCTATACGGTTCCCCCCAGCAGTGGGTGGCCTGGTTCTGAGTGATCGAGGTGGGACTTTCCATGATGCAGCCTGGAAAAGGGAGGTCCCGGGAAGCACAGGTCCCCAGCCCACCTCCCTGGCCCCCTGTACTCTGCCATTTGGACAAAAGAACCAGGGAGGACCAGGGTTCTGGGGACACTCTTATTCCTCTTAGTTGAGGCTCTTTACAGGAGCCAAGAACCAGTGAAATGTCCAGGTGGCCTTAAACTCAAGGTATCTGGGCTTCTGGGCTCCTAGCTGGCCTAGGAATAGAGGGGTGAGGACAGGTCATTGCTTGGAGCAGGGATGTCCCAGCTCTCAGGACACAGCTCCACCACCTGCCTGCCTTGTAGAATTGGCCCCATGCCACCCCCACCCAGGGAGCCAAGGACTTCTTGCCACTGCCCTGTGGGTGGGTTGACCCTTGAAGGTTCTGCAGCAAGGTGTTTGGGGAAGGGTTAGGCTTCGGGCTGTGGGTGCCATCTGGGCTGGGTCTCCTCCCGGCAGGTGGTGGAACCCCTTAGTCGTTGGGGCCTGCTTGCCCGTGAGGCTGGCCCTGACGCCCAGCTGGAGCCCAGCGCGGGCTCCCCTCTGCCTGGGAAGGTGAGCAGGCCTCCCCTGAGATCGCCTGCAGGACCTACTGGTGGTCACCGGCTCAGCCCAGCACCGGCGAGGGACGTGGTCGGCCTGTGCCTGTTTCCACAAGGACACCGACTTGCTGGTGGTCCTTCCGTGGGTCAGTGACTCACTCGGCCTTTATTCGATACAAACGTAGGGCTGCGGCCACTTGGAGGGCTGATTGAGGGGCCCATCAGAGCGCATCTCAGCAGACTTGTGTATATTCTTAAGTGCCCAAGAGTTGTTCTCAGAGATAAGCCAAAGAATGACCAAGGTCTGGCCTCCAGGAGCTGTCCTGCTCTGAGGCAGGAGTCTGAGTGTAGAATTGATCTAGCTCCGAGAATAAATTTTCTTTCGAGCCGCTACTTACGCCTTTGTCTGCATATGGCCGTGGGGCCTTTGTGGCGGCTCAGCCCTTGCTCTCCGAGAATCACTCCATGAGCACTTGCGTCCCTGTCCTGCGCCAGGTGTTAGGGTGCACAGTGCAGGCACGTTCGTCCTGGAAGGTCGCAGTCGGGTGGGTCCATAGGAGGTGCCCTAGAGGCACCTGGACTGAGGAAGTCACCTGGAGGGACGTGGGTTTGGAGGGCTGGGCGGAGGGGAAGACACAGGGCCGCGTTGGGGGGATGTCTGGGGAAGACTCCCAGGGGGCATGCAGAGCCACCAGGAAGGAGTGTGGGGCGGGGTGGTCCTCGGTATTGCCCCCCCCCCCATCTCCTGCCCGCCTCCACTCGGCCATTTAGATAGGGTTTGGAGGTAGCTTAGAATTTTGCCTGGTCTTTCCTAAGTATGTATAATGAGGAAACAGACTGTTGACTTCAGGTTTTCTCTGAGACTGGGAAAGGAAATCGATCCATCTGTTGGAAGAGAGGAGAGACTGGATGCTTTGTCCTTGAATCCCGCTTGAATATTTGATCCCAGCCACTGGGCACCT